AATGAGGTGACTGCAACAACCTGCTTCCAAGTCACAGGAAGGACGAAGCAGGGGACCCCTCCCCCTCAAAATCACATGACTTGTGATAAATTTGAGAGAGTTGGCAACGTTGCATTCTAAGAAAAATGCACATAAATAAGCTACAGGATGACCTGCAAATACAGGAAACAGTTGTTCAAAAAGGGCTCTTTACAGGGGTTCAGTCACTTAGACACACTCTAAATTAAAAAAAAAAAAAAACAACAAGAAAAAAAACCTGGTTTCGGTTTTCCAAGAAACAGCACATTAAACAAAGGCGCTTGGTAAGTGGTTACAACTGAATTCATGACACTGTAGAAAACAAGCCTAGACATGCAGAATTCAGGCTTAAGAAGCAGTACAAAACTGCCAGAAGCTAAGCTAAAAGAATGACGAATTTTCCCACAAGACTATTCTAAAATGATAGGGGATGAAATGAGCAGTTACACATGCAGTCTGTTTACAAAATGCTGGCATTAAATTCACATGTTTTCAAAAAGATAGAGGTGCACCATTTTAGAATCCCTCATTTGCTAAAATATTTTCAGATATATGGATAATAAAGGAATGCAGTTTGCAGTGCAGGGACTCTTTGGGAAGCACTCTAAACACTATACCCTCATTAGGAGTCTTGGGAAACCAGAAATGTAATTAACAACCTTTCTTTTTTTAAAAAACTCTCCATGGATTTATTCCACTCTCTTTCTTTGTCCCTTGTGTACATTTCCCGGTTCTCCTACTATTTGACTGTACTGTTCTCTATTTGGTCCCTTTGCTACACAGTCTCACCATTGCACTACAGGTTGAACCTCTGAAATCTGGGACTCTCCGGTCTGTCAGCATCTGTGGTCTGGCAGGATAACAGATGTTGCTAGATCAGAGAGCCCTGGTGCCTGGGAGTGTGAATTCCGTCCCCAAGGAGCCCCGGCTGGGTGGGGCAGCAGCTGGACTGGGAAGCCCCATCTCCAGGAATCCCCGGCATACAAAGCAGCAGCAGGGAAGCCAGCAAGCCCATTCCCGGGGATTTCTGATCAGGTGGGGGAGAAGCGGGCTGCAGGGCTGGGGAGCTCCATCCCTGAGAAGCCACAGTGGGTAGGAGCCCAAGTCCAAGCTCTGCAGGCTGGAGCCAGCAGGAAGGCAGTAGCAGTGGGTCTGGAGTGGAGCCAGCTGCAGGGAGGGGGAGTGTCCTGGGAGGCCAGTGGGAGGGACCTCCCCTGGTCTGGCAAATTCCCTCATTCAGGAAGGGTCAGTTCCTGAGGGTGCCAGATAAGGGAGGTCCAACCTGTATTTCTGCAAAAAAGTCTTTTCCTACATAGATCCTAGCTATAGCAGTCTTCCTGCATCTCCCCATCTTAATTCAGATCTCTGCTGATTATTTTTCTTAAGCAGATGCTTGAGTTTCATGTGTGATAGAATAATATACTGCTATATTCTCACATCACTCTAACATTTGTACAGAATATACCTTGTAAGGTATCATTTGCAAACTAAAAACTCAATGGTCAATAATACTATTGTAAAAGTTATGCAAAATTATGAACAGTATCTGAAATCATGACTGAAATCCATTTGCTGACTGGCTGCTGAGGTCAAAATTGCACTGGATCAGGACTATGGCTACACACAGACTCTCAGGATGTGACCTGCATGCTGTTAGACTACTTGTAAGTGGCCCAGTTGGGAACTACAGTAGCATGATAATGTACCCAATGTTGCAGAGTCTGGGTGACACAGTCCCCCACTGGTCTGGACTGCACCCCAAATGTCAAACTACTCCTCATTTGTTGAAACCCTCCACCCCACAATTTCACAGCCATTATTCACAGATAGAGTAAATCAGCATCTAGCAACAAATTGAACTTTAATGGCTCCTAAACACACCATAGAAGTGCTTGGGTGAGCATCAAGAATAAAAATCCATTCACTCATTAACAACCTCTATTTGAATAGAGTCCATCAGATCATTTAGTCCGAGACAAAAAAAATAGATACATGGTGAAAATACATTGTCTTCAACTCCTGAATCACAAGGCTCACGCATCCAACACATCTTTAAGTAAATTAGTTGCTTAGTTTTAGGAATGGACAATGTGAAGATGACTACACAATTAACTGATAAGCCTGGGCTTATCAGTTAATCTTGTAGACTACACGCATTCCCCCCACCCTTGTTGCCTCTGTATTTGAAGCAGCAAGAGGGAGGGAGGTGGGAGGCAGCTTTTAAGCACCTCCCCACAAGAACTGGATGTGCCTGCCCCCCTCCACTCCTGTGTTGCTGACTCTGATAGAGGCAGCAGTGCGGAGGATGAAGGGGGCCAGGTGGGAGCCAATACAAGTGAGGAATCAGCTTTTAAAGCTGGCTCGCTGCATGTGCCAGCTCTGTGGACCTGCCTACCCCAACCTGCTGCCTCCTACAGACAGCCGGGGGAATGGGAGAAAGGTGGAGCTGGTGCTGGTGGGAGCTCTCTGCGAGCACAGGCTCCGTGGAGCTGCCTGCCTTCCCTGTGCTGCTTCCTCTATCAGCCAATGAAAAATCCTCAGTGAATCTTGTGCAGTTGGGCCATAGTAAATAAGGCACCTAACTTACCAGATAGAGCAGGGTTTCCCAACCTATGGGTTGGGACCCAAAAATGGGCTGCCATTACGTTTCAACAGGGTCGACAAGTGTCTCCTCAGGTGGCTCTGCCCTCCCTACTCCCCCCGTTTTGAATTGCCTTGGGTCACCAAGTCTTCCGGAATTGTCAAAATGGGTCCCCACCTGAAAAAGGTTGGGAACCGCTGAGATTGAGGGATCTCTTATATCCCTCTGATTCAAAATTCTATAAAAGAGTTTTCAAATAAATTTTCTTGTAGCATAACTCATATATGGACGCCATGACAGTCTGAGATGATTCATTCACTACTTTGAGAATTACACAACCCAAAAGTCACCTCACAGAATTCTAAAGCTGCTTGTCCTTTGAAAGAGGAACTTACTGTATAACACAACTGCTCCACTGTGTGTGTGCACATTTTTTTTGTGCTGGAGGGAGGAGAATTGGGGAAAAACATGTGAAATTGAAACAATATTTTCCTGTGTGTCAACCAACCAAAATTTATAAGATCCAGATTATCCTTGAACAAATAAAGTTAAAAAATCGCTAGTTTTGTGTCAACGAATTCTTGTTCATTCTCCAGAGATTTCCTGAGCTAAAAATAAAACCTTGCCAAAATTCTTTCCAACACTTTTACAGTTTTTAGAATTCTACACACAATTCAAATAGACCTAGTTCCTGTCCTACTTCATAATTTAGCAAAGCTCAAATCTTTGTTAAGTTAAAAACAGTTCATCAAGATGAAATTATTGCTTTTGTTTTTGTTATTTTAGAGAAGACCATAAATCAAGTCTGCTACACCAAAAATAATTCTGAAGACTTTCTAAAAGAAAGAGATGTAGCCATGTTAGTATGAACTTGGTAAAACAAAAAAGCAGTCATGTATCACTTTAAAGACTAACAAGATGGTTTATTAGGTGATGAGCTTTCATGGGGCAGACCCACTTCTTCAGATCAAGAACTTAGTACTAATTTTCCTAGAGCTACCATCACTGCAAGTTTACATCCATACGCAAAATGACTATGGAAACTTGTGAATGTCACCTACAGAAGTCAGTAAGAGCTATGGATGCATAATGCCTTTGAAAATCAGCCCTCTTTTATTTAGGTCCCTAAATATGATATGGGTGTCTAAATTTAGGTACCCGATTTTGAAAATGATAGCCTTGGTTGTTTACTATCTCAATAAAGATCTGCTAACTTGGTTGTCACTGCATCTATGTTTACCAAATATGCACTCAGGACATTTGTCCAAAGTAAAATCTTGGAAACATTTACCTGCACACTTAGGATTCAGAACATTGTGATTTGAGCCCATCTCTAATACAGATATTGCTCTACATGATCAGGGTTAGTGTTAGAGAGACAGGGACTGGTTAACTTCAGTGGTTATAGCCTGTAACATTGCTCCCTTTACACACAATGGAGCATGTACACCAGCTACCCTGTAATATACCCTCAGTCAGCATGTGTCTCTGCACAGTGTGCAGAATCCCTCTTTCCCCCAAGTACCTGTTGTACAGACACACAAGCTGGCCCCAGCAGCCGGCCACTTTGAATGACATGTAGGGATGCGGCAGCCAGATAGCCTGCCTGAGGTTACCACGAGGCTCTTGGCTGGGAGTCGCCTAGGGTAAGTGCCTGCCAGCCATAGCCTGCACTTGGCACCACAGCCCCTACTATACCCCTAACCCAGATCACAATCTCTTCCTGCCCCAGGTCACAACCCAAACCCTCTACTCCTCCCCCATTTCCCTCCCCTATGTCAGAATCCTTTCCTGCTCCCAACTCCTCTCCCAAATCCTGCACTCTCTCTGCATCCCAATCTCCTATCCCAGGTCACAACGCCCCTCCTTCACCCAAACACCCTCCCAGACCCCAAATCTGCTCCTGCATCCAAATCCCCTGCCCAGAGCTCTCTCCTGCACCCAACTTGTCCCAGACCCTGTACCCCCTCCATTAATATCATAGAAAAGTGTGGCCCTTGACCACTCACCAAATTCTTTGGAGTGCCCCCCTCCCCCCATCAAAAATGATCGCCCACCCCTGTACAGCACTTACCACAGTGGTTTTGTTGCAGGCCTCTAGATGGCATCATAATACAATAATAAAATCATCAAGATCACTCCCTCCATGAAATGAAGTCAACCCCCCCCCATAAGAAGTTCCCTTTTTGGCTCCAATAAGACTGCAAGTTCAAGCCAACAAGCCTTAAATGTTTATTAACTATGATCAGCAGCATCACCAAGGAGCCCCAGTCATGGAGCAGGAGCCCTCTGTGCAAACATAACAAAAAGACATTTTCTGTCCTAATCCATTTGCAATTTAAGATAAAAGCAAACGTGACTGGATGGCTTTACTTTACAAAACATCATGTTGCTCCTTTACCTGTCAATGAACTGGTCAATCATAACAATATCTCCAGGCTGTATTTCTTCTCTTAATGAACCACAGGCAGTAGTTACTAAAATATGAGTACAACGCTCTTCTTTCAATGCCCAGATGTTGGCACGGAAGTTGACATTTGTTGGCATAATAGTATGATGTCTTCCATGCCTGCAAAGACAAGCGGGAAGCAAGATAAGAAAACTCAAAAGGTAAATAAAAAGTACCCACCTATTTAAAAAAAATTAGATTTCTGAAAACTTGACGTTGACAGTACTCAACTTCCCATATACCATACTCCATTTATAGGATTTAGTTGTGCATGAGGTCCCCCACAAAAATTGAGTCTCTAGGTTCCATTCACTCGGCTCCCATTATTACTTTTAGTATCATGTTCCAGTGCTGTTATAATAAAAGTGGCTCTGTGATACTGTGGTATTCTTCCCCTCTCACTCATCCCCTCACCAGCACTAGATATACTTAATGTTATACATATAAAGGTTGTTTTTGTGTTAGCATTATGAGCACCATCTCGTATCTTAAAGTCAAGTTGAGTTCCTTCATTTCTTACAACTTTGCTAGTAAAGATAAGATTCTACATTCTACACTCAGAATAAAACCAGCAATGTCTAATGATAAAATGGGCAGAAGAGCATCTAATTCGCCTTTCCATCCACAGCTTCCACAGAGTTAATATAGTAAAATAAAAAAAATATGCTAAGGAGGGGGGGATATATTACACCCCAATCTTCTTGAAAAACATGGTATTTCCTAAATCAAGTATCAGAGGGGTAGCCGTGTTAGTCTGGATCAGCAAAAGTGACAAGGAATCCTGTGGCACCTTACAGACTAACAGATGTATTGGAGCATAAGCTTTCATGAGCAAAGACTCACTTCGTCAGATGCATGAAATCAGTGTTTCTCAACCTATTTTTTATGAAGTACCCTTTTAAAAAAAAGCATAAGTGCCCCCAGTACCTACAGTTTTGAGACACATCAAATTTTTTTCTACCATTGCAACACATTTGTTTAAACAACTTAATCGTAGCTGGGCGGGCGATTAAATTTTTGGGTGTAAAAAGTACAAAAATAATAAAGCGCTGTAAAACTTTAAACAAAAATTCAATTTTCTCCAAATTTCAGTTGTGTTAACCTACCCCCCAGACTTCTCTCAAGTACCCCTAAGGGTACGTGTACCACTGGTTGAGAAACACTGTCCTAAATCATGGTAGGAAAGATGTCTGACTAAGTCTTTCCTTCTCCTTCTTTGGAAGACAATGCTATATGGACCCTTGAGCTAGGTCTACACTAGGGATGTTAAATTTTGATTAATCAGCTAATCAGGAATTTCCATTTACTACTCAATTAGTTGATAAAGGGCTCTATCCCATTGTGCCTCTTCCTTTGAAATGTACAAGAGCCACCCAAAAAATGAGTACAAGATCTTTCAAAAAAGGGGTGTGTTTTTTTGAAAGAACCGTGTCTAGATGTCGGTTTCACTTTCGAAAAGCCCCTTTTCAAAAGAACATGTGGCTGCCATTATGCAAATGAAGTGCAGGAAATTCAAATCCCGGCTTCCTTTGCAATTTCGATCTGTCTAATTTACATCCCTCTTTCGAAAGAGGGATGTAGTCTACACATGCCCTAAGTCTACACTAGGGATATAAAATTCTGTTTAATTGGTTAAATGGTTAAATGCAGTGCTGACACTGTGTTTAATCAATTAAAGGGGTGGTGGTCAGGGGCAGGGCTACTCCAGCAGAGCTGGGGAGCCCGCCCGCCTGCTGAGGTCAGACTAGAGTGGCATCTGCCGCATGAAGGAGCTACCGCAGCCACACACACACACACCCCATACAGGGGCTGCCAGCTGAAAGAACGCACAGACTGGGAGCTGACAGCTCCATGCAGGGGGCCCAGCGAGGCTGCTCCTGGGTACTGGTTATTCATGATGACCAGTAAACATCATCCATTAAGGGTGACGCTTACCAGGTAACTGTTTAACCAGTTACCCATTCATATCCCAAGTCTACACTAAAATCTTACATCCAGGTTTGATAAACTAGTGTCTACTATGGCTTACCCAGCATCTTCAGAATGGTAAGACAGTCCATTTTTAGACAACAACACAACAGTCAAACAGTATGTCAAAAGAATTTTGAACCTAGGGATGTAAAAGTATAACCATTTAAATGGTTAACTGATAAGCCTGGGTTTATTGCTCACCATTAATGGCTACACGCAAGCTCCTGCCCCGCTCCTGAGGAGCCAGTGCTTTCCTGTGCTGCTGCCTCTGTATCAGAGGCAGCAGCACAGGGCAGTAGCCAGCTCCCTGGGAGCAGGATGGAAGGCAGGAGCCGGTATACACTACAATCCAGCTGCTGCCCCATGCTGGAGGTACATGTAACTGCTGAGATTTTCAGTGGTTATGCGGTTACCCAATTATCCTCTTTTTAACATCCCTATTTGAATCCATGTCAGTCCAGACAGTCAAGTTCTACACTGATCGAGGTATACGGGAGAGTCATGTTCGACGCTCACTGTCAAACAAGTAGAACAAAAATAATATGGTGTATGCCCAATATCAGGATAAGGCTACCAGGATTTTTTTGGGGGGGGAAGGTCCTTGGGAATCGTAGTATATATTTTAAAAAATATATATAAAAGCATGCATATATACACTATAAGTTCCAGTTTGTATATCTGTCTCTCAGAGTACAATTTTCTTGCTGGACAGAGGAATAGGGATGCCAACATGTAGTTGACTACACAATTAACTGAGAAGCCTGGGTAGGAGGGAGTCGATACGTGTGGGGAGCCTGCCCCCCTGCCCTTGCTGCCTCCTACAGAGGCAGTGAGGGGAGGCAGATAGGAGCCTATGCTGGTGGGAGCCCGCTTAAAAGCTGGTTTCCCTGCAGCACAAGCTCCACAGTGCCACCTACTGCCCGCCCCACGTGGCTGCCTCTGATAGAGGGGAAGGGAAGCTGCCACAAAGCAGCCTGTATCCATAGCAATCTGGGCCGACCGTGGACAGAAGCTGGTCCGCGGCAGCAGCCTCTGCTGGGGGGGGGGGGGGGGGGGGGGGCCCAACCGGGCGGGCAGCCTGTCTGTGTGGGGAGCTGGTTTTTAAACTGGCTCTCCTGGCAGTCCGGCCCCTGCCTGCCATCCCACACTGCTGCCTGATACAGAGGCAGCAGCACAAAGTGGCAGGAGGCTCCCCAGGAGCACACTGGATGCTGGGCCCACCCCCGGGGAGTCTCAAATAGTCGTGCAACTGCAAAGATTTCATGACTATTAAACGACACGATATCTAACATCCCTAGAGGGGGAGGGAGGAGTAGTAAAAACACATTAAGTCATAGATTGCAGAGAAAAAAAACAGTTACCTAAACATGAGTGCAAGGAAAGGACCAAAGTCTCCCCAGACTAGCAATACAAATGGGATATCAGTTTGACAGTATTGTATTTCAAAGTAACATGGGGGAGGTAGCAACACAGCCCCCAGTCATATTAATGGGAGTTGCATGGATAAATCCTTGGATATAATACAGGTTTTACCAGAGGATAGAATTTAGCTTATTTTGACCAAAATAACTAAGGAAACAGTAATTACATGAAGTGTCATGGTAAGTGATATGGCTAACCCCAAATTCTTCAGCTCACCCAATTTACTGATTTCTTCTGTTACCTAGAATGTCTTTCAGTTTTCAGGGTTTATGTAATAGGACATTTTATCTTATTACAGGGAAATATTCCATAACCTCTTCTTTAATAAAACTAGATATTTAAGGCCTTGAAAAGAATCAAAAGGGAAAAAGTTCAGTGGAAACAAAGCAAAAGACAAAGAGCACCCAAAGAAATAAATATAGGAGAGATCCAGCCAGATGTGATAGCCACACTCAGCAACTGCAATTGGCCACAATAGAACTTAGAGACAAAAAAGAGGAAAATAAAATAACAAAGACAGACAAAACAGAAACCACCCTCTAGCAAACCAGCTCTAGCAATACTCCCTCTAATCCAGTGGTTCTTAAGCTTTTTGGCCAATGGAAAACCTGGCTCAATGTATACCTTTCCGCCAACCACCAGTTGCTAATGGAAACTTACCGCTAATTACATAATTATGCCCAAGCCATTTTGCTACTGCTGCAGCTAGAGAGGCTGGTTTAAATTATTAAACAAATTAAGCGTTTTAACTTGCTCATGTTAATTTATCAAACTTCATTTATATCCAACACATAAGGTTTCAATATCTTCTGTATGGAGGATGTGGGGAAACTTTATTGTGTCAGGGGGCCACTGACCCACAGAAAAATGAGTTGGGGGACTACACAGGAGAGAAGCAAAAAAACTCCTCCAAAACCCGCACTGATGTGGCCCTCAACCGAGGCACCTCACTTGTCTGGCATTCCAGCAACACGGGGCAAGGGGAAGGGAAGGGACAGGGAGGACTGAGGTTCAGGGCTTCCCATAGGCCAGATTTACTTTTCTGGCATTCCAGAATTAGGATTTTATGAACCCCTTCAGGCTCTGGGGTGGGAACAAAAATGAGAGGTTCAGTGTGTGGGAAAGGGCTATTAGTGAATGGGGTAGGGATGAGTGCAGGATCTGGGAGGGAGGTGGGGTGCAAGGTCTGGGTGGGAGGTAGGATGCAGAAGCAGGCTGGGAGTAGGCTGTCTGGCGAGGGGCAGGGAGATGGGGGCAGGGAGTGCCTGGGTCTAAAGCTGGGGGGTTGAGTGACTGAGAGGGTTCAGGGAAATGGAGGGGCAGGTGGTAGGGAGGGTGAGCGTGGCACAGCAAGGCAGGAGTGGGTGAGTAGGTGACCTCGGGGTGTCTAACCCTGCAGAGGATGGGGTCCTGCAGGAGTCCAGCCCATGATGCCCTCAGGGGCTGAGTTGCTGCTCGGCCCCTCCTCCCAGACCAAGTACCCAAGGGTATAAAGCCTAGAAGGACCCTGAGCCCCCCCTGCCTCCTGCATTTGTGGGGTCCTCAGTCCCAGCGTCACCTGCTCTCACCGCTGCCGGGCACAGCCCAACCCAACCTACTGCTGGGGGGGAGGGAGAGCGCCAGCCACTCCCGCACCACGAGAGCCCATCCTGCCCACCCACGCCCTGTGCAGCCCAACCTGCTACCTGACCCGGTGGACCAACTGAGGGACACACTGCTCTTTCCAT